TGTCAACGCGATGTAAGAGATATGCCATATCCCTTATATCGGAGGTATCATCGGAGGTATCGCTGGCTAACTCATGGGTTGAAAAAAATGCGCGTGAACTGTCGCGTTACGAAATTATTTTGTTCAATGGAACCTTTGTTTTTAAGCCTTTTTTCTTTCTTTAAACCCGGCAATCATCGCTCTTTTGATGTGCCAGTGGTCATTTTTTTCGTCATCACTGAAACATGCATCGATGATGTGTGTGTGTGTGTGTGACGTATGAAGGCATGGTAGAAGCCGACGAGGAAGAAGTGACAGTAGAATAAACATGGCGTATGAGCCAGGCCACGTCTCCCATTCATGATAGTGTCACACAAGTCGACAGGATGAAGACCTCCCAGCCACTTCATCAGTGTCTCATCATCGACGCAGTTCTCCACAAGACGCCCTGACCATACATCGACTACGGAATCATCTCCTGGCCGCACACAGCGACCAGCCACCATCTTCGAACGACTCAGCAAGACGCAGTGACCAAACGTGGACCACGAAAGTACATCCCTACACTACACCAAGACCAGCATCATGACAGCACCATCAGACGACCTTGACATCCCCAAGTACACCGGATCAGCGGACGACGGACCCGTACAGGACTGGTTCAACCTTTTCGAGCTCCACGCCGCCGCTGCATCCTGGTCGGAACGGGAGATGATCATCAATTTTACTGACTACATCTCAGGTGAGGCATTCAAATTTTACCTCACCCACATCTTCGAGAACGATGAGTCTTGGAAAAAGATCAAAGAAGAAATGATCACCCGTTTCAAAGAATACTATGAAGACCTGTCCATACCTCATCAGCGGAAGGTTTTTCAACTCGTCCATCAGAGTTACTCTAAGTCTTCCCGCAGTAAGCCTATTTCCCAAACGGAACCTCAGAGAAAATATACCACCATTGTATCATCATATGACTCTTCCGAAAAAACGCCAAGCATTCGAACACCGACTGGAAACTTGCACGTCGCAACAGACAAGGTAAAGCCTCCGTATACCGAAAGGAATCTAGACCATTTTGGCAAAAGACTAAACCTAAAGCCGTCTTTCCCAAGAACAATGAAATCGGCATTTTCAACGTGTTCACGTTACCACAACAGTTCACATTTTACTGAACCACCGGAATCCCTTGATGCTTCGTGTCACACACAAGGCCCAGATGGTTTCGAGCATGCGACGGAATTTACGCGTGACGAGCTGGTGAATCCTCACAATACCAGCCCCTACCCTGACGTTCCGGACCAGGGTCGTTCGACAGACATTGTCAGCCTAACTACGCTGCAAAAAGAAAAACATATGCCATCAGAACTACCTGAAGCCATGTCTGTTGTGCTCTCATCGTCAAGTGATAACACACATGTGAGTCAAAGCACTGCAGGAATTTCGAATCCACCAACGCCGGCGCATTGTCAACTGACAGAAGCATTTACAATCAAGGATGACTCACAACCATCTTGGGAGCTTTCTCATCAGCCTGTGACGCTGCTTTCATCGCAAGACAAGCCTAGCAGTACAGTGTCGACTACCGACAATCTACTGATCACATCACCATCTAAAGAAAAGCAGACTCATGTTTCTGAAAGAGGCCCATCTGACCAACTTTCACAAAGAGACAAGCAATGTCAACAAAGTCAACTCCACGAACTCCAAGAACTGCAACGGCTACTCGAACAAGAACGATCAAGTGAAACCTCCTCACGAGTACACTTGTGGCTGAAAGGTCATCAGAAACAACATCAATTAAAGAAGCAAAGACAAAGTCGATGCCTAAGCCATCTTCGCAGAAAGCAACGTCGACAAAATTTTCTGCACCAGTTCTCAAAGCCATGTCTGCCATCCAACAAACTGAGAGAACGCCACAGAAAGTTACGAAAGAGACATGAAGCTACTACGTATACAACGGAGAAAAAAAGATATCGTTCCATCATCCTCGGTTCTCACGCGCGCCAACTAGAAGCAAAGCATCTATTGCCACGATGGCGCTGGATCCGATGCCAAAGACATTCGTCAATCCAATGCTACACAGATTTCAAGCCTTGTTCGTTCTTCACAAGACCTCAAGTCATGTCATCATCAGTGGAGATGTGCAGGGCAGGGTTATGCTATCCAGGGCACAACAGCCAGCCTCGTCCACCAGAGCTACCCTAGATATGACCGGACTGCTGCCCTATACTGTGAAGCTTTTGTGCGAGTTAAGAAACTCCCTCCTGAAATCGAACTACCGCGCATTTTGACATTCTTCACCTTATGCTTTTTGTTGTTTTGTTGATTGTAACTCGCGCATTCTTTCGGGGGGAGGGGGAATCATGTGACGTATGAAGGCATGGTAGAAGCCGACGAGGAAGAAGTGACAGTAGAATAAACATGGCGTATGAGCCAAGCCACGTCTCTCAGTCATTATAGCGTCACACACACACACACACACACACACATATATATATATATATATATATATATATATATATATATATATATATATATATATATATATATATATATATATATATATATATATATATATATATATACCAAGAGAAGTTTTGCGGTTGACGTCTTTATCAGACAACATTAACAGCATAATTTATAAGATAAAAAATTCGTCGATGGGGCCATCCTTTAGATGCAACAAAAACGCAATAACGCTCGTAATAAAAATGTAACGTCGATGTTCTCGATAACGACGGTCAATTCGTCCTGCCGATGTGGCGTTTATGAATTATTTTTGTCAACGCGATATAAGAGATACGCCATATCCCTTATATCGGAGGTATCATCGGAGGTATCGCTGGCTAACTCATGGGTTGAAAAAAATGTGCGTAAACTGTCGCGTTACGAAATTATATTTTTTTATGGAACCTTTGTTTTTAAGGCTTTTTTCTTTAAACCCAGCAATCATCGCTCTGTTGATGTGTCAGTGGTCATTTTTTTGTCATCACTGAAACATGCATTGATGGATGTTTCCAGAATTGCTTCTCGAAGCAGCCGTTGCCATAGCACGCGCACGTTTGGACAAATTAAGCGTCTAAACGAAGTCTTCGAGTAGCCATTATGAACTTATTCACCATATGAGCTCTAGCTATGACAATTAGTGACTTCCATTCAAGTGAAAAGCATGACGACACGTATTCCAGACGCTGAACCAATATATCTTCAAAAACATCTAATTTATGTCTTCTTGAAGACCAAGACCCCTAACGCCGTTTGTACCCGTTTCACGACGTTTTGTAGAGGTTTTGTACGTAGTGGGACTTAACTTACGCGCAACGCAAATGCAGCTTTGCGTACACTATTCGAAAACTCCCTTTTACGTACGCGAGCGGGTCTCGGAGAAGCGGGACACCACGTGGCACCCCAAAAGGGGATCGCCATTCAGTGGGTAGTACGCCATCCAGGTCATGTGACCGCTAACAACCAAATGCTGCATAAAAGTTGGTTTGAGCCGTGGTTCAAGCATATATCGTGTGGCGCTGCAGTATATAGGAAGCGCTGGCAGCGTTGGTGAAATAAGGTCCCTGAAAAATACATGTACATTATGCCGAAGGGAAGTGTCAGCATGTCATTGTTTCTTGAGGAGTGGGAGCATAAGCTGCTTGTGTTTGTGTGTGTGTGCGTGTGCGCGCGTGCGTGTGTGTGCGTGCGTGCGTGTGTGTGTGTGTGTGTGTGTGTGTGTGTGTGTGTGTGTGTGTGTGTGTGTGTGTGTGTGTGTGTGTGTGTGTGTGTGTGTGTGTGTGTGTCTGTGTGTGTGTGTGTGTTTCTGTGTGTGTGTTAATTTAACTTTTTAACCTGTGATAATGCAAGACAAGGAGTAGCTGTTTGCTTCGTTTAATTATATTTAAAATGTTTCGGTAAGTCTTGTGGTACTTTTTCTTCACTGAACGCTCGCAACCAGCGGCTAGGATAATGAAAACGAAACCAAAACCAATTAAGGTATCACCGTATGCATCCTACATTCAGCCCCACTATCCCCACTAGCAATCGCACGTTCACAATTATTTTGATTTGTGCAATTTTACGCGAAAATATTTTAACTGCATTATGCTAAAAAACAATTCATAATAGGCATATAATGTTCGGTTTCGGTTTCATTTTTCTGACCTCTCGTGACCAAAGCCGTAACTTTTCTGCGAGTCAATATGGCGTTTAGCTGTTGTGACAAGTTATAGCTGCTCGTCAATGTTTCTCGGATTCCATGCTCAGGTAAGCCTGTCGTACTTATCACTCGTCGCGCGAACTGCGTCATAGTTTGTCCACAAACTTTACTGCCGCACTGTTGTCACTTGGTGCAAAGCGACGTCGTTAAGGCGCGGGGAAACAAGTACGGTGGTTCATTGACCCAAGGCGCTGCGTCGCTTTAAAGAGGTTTCATTTTCGCAATTTCCTCGTAACCGCGAACGCCACCCTCATGCTCTGTCTGAACTTTGGTTCGAGTACTACTTTCCGTCGCCAACTTGTCGCCGTCCACTGTTCATTGTGTGTTTGAGTGGTGTGCGCTACCGCGACCCACGGGACGTGGAGCTCGCCTCCGGTAGTTCGTTTTGGCGGCATAGGCGACCGAACTACGTGATGCGAATACGATATGACCGCCTCGTCGCACGCAATCACGTCAACTTGTCGCTCCAGTCGGCCCGCCACTGGACATCGCTGACGGAGCGTGCAAAAACGCCGCTGTCCCGTGCAAGTCGTATTTTGCTCTTTTCGGAACTCGTTGGGGGGTGTTGCCAGCACCTCACCGATCCACCAAAAACAACGTACCGCCGCGCCCGTTTCAGTGAGATAAGCCCCTTTTCCGAAGCTAACCGCGACGCGCTAAATGCCGACCGACCTGACACGGTTTCGGTAAGTACTACGGGGTGCCGAGCTCGTATATGAAATGCCGACCTGATTGTAATTTTTTTCTTCTCTCCTCTCGCCCGCTGGGCAGAGGGGAAGTTCGTTAAGCATATTTGCGACCAGATCGCCTTGAAGTGGGCAGGGTTTTTTTCGACGGAGTTTTTCTGTTGGGAGCTGCTGGCGACCTAATGTGGTGTGTACCGTACTTAAATGTGGTGTGCACCGTGGAGCTGAGTGGTTTTCGGCGCCTTTCTGTAAGTTTTGCGCTGGAGGTTTTGGTTACACATTATTTCCTCGTTGTTATTCGTTGGTCAGTTTGTGGCTGGACTGTGTCGTGCAAAGCGAAAGCCCACTCCGTTTGATATACAAGATCCTGTGCACTCGAGGCTGTTACGAAAAAGCAATCAAAACAAAAGGTAAGGGCTGTAGCGTTTGCAGCTGTTTGTATAGAGGCGGCCTCGCATGTCGCGTCGGAAATTGCTTCTCGTGACGGAGTTTGCAGTGAGCCTCGTATTGATAGGGAGTTCCAGTGTCCTTTCCTTATAAGCATTGCCTCAGATGTTTGGGTGGTCCCGGTGTATGCAGAGTGGCCCATTATCTATGGCTTTTGGGATTCTGCCAGCTTATTCAACTGTTTCGAGCAAGGAGTGTGTAGCGAAACTGCGTTAGATGCATCAATGCAGCGCTGCCCCGGTGGCACTTGAAGCACGTCTGGCTTATTGTTACGTGCGTTTGCCAATCGAGGGTTTTTTTCCCAGAACTTGACGAGTGAATAGACTCGACGGGGCTGACAAGTGTTTGGAGAAGGCTCGTCGACACCTTTGTGTTACAGGGGTGCATAGGAAATGTTGACAGGGGCTCTCAGTCTGCTTTTGTTGCTTTGAAGTTGGATGGGTCTTTCTTGATGTGACATGCACGTGGGGGATTGTCACACGGGCGCCTGTTGTGTGCATCATATTGCTAGGTAAATACAATTCATTGCAAGTGTTCATTTGGCATGAGCAACGGCTGGCACAATATGTTGCTTGCAGTGGTAAGCAGACTTGTTTCTACTTTTTGTTATCTACCTATGTACTCCTTTTCAATATTGTAAAGCTGTCTTTCAGATTAAGTCAAGTAGTTTGCCATGTTACAAAATTGTGAAATGATCTTTCCTGCAATGTTGCCACGCTTGCTTACTCGCAAAGCTCCGCAGTGTTTATATAGTATTGATTTAATGGTGTTCATAGTGGCATAGCTGTGACGCCTTCCTTGTTCACTGTATTGTAGTTGAATTTTTCACAAGAGAACCAGCATGATTGATCAGTAGTTTCAGCATTCTGCCATTGAACAAGGAGGTTGTGTGTTTGTTTCCCAGCAGTGTTTGTATGGAGGCAAACTGAGAAACTGCTCGTTGTTTACATTTCGACGCACTTTCAAGGCAGAGCCTTTCACTACACCCTCTCTCGTAATCTTGTCAAGGTTTTGGGATGGAAGTCCTCAGCCTCTGCAGTTACTTTATGATTATATTATTAATATTACTTTTTAAGAGCACCTATGCTCTGAAAAATAATCTGTAGTGTGCCTCAGACAGCACAGATTTGGGCCCACTAGGTCAGGCATTAATACTTTCACTGTTTAGGAGATGAACACATATGTCTCTGTGAAAACCTATAGAGGAGAAACAGATTCAGTATTAATTCTTAGCTTACACACCATATTCCTTTCCTTCTCTTTTACTGACGGTGAGGCTGAGGGAATTGCGCATGCAGAAATAATGCTGCTCCTACAAAAACACCAGCCATCAAAATGTAGAACTCGTCTTAGTCACCGCAATCTCCCTCCAAATATCCGTCTTGTTGTTGTATGTATGGTATTTGTGAATCAATTACATGATGTTTGAATAGGTATAAAAACGCACACATGCCCAAATGCTAAAGAATTCCTAACACAGGGTGTCGCTGGGTCCGTGCACGCGCCTTCACAATCAAATGGTGAGACATTCCAAAATGTGATGCCAGAACTTTTTAGTCATGCAGTTAAACAAAGCTAGGACTTTCCTGCTGAGCTAACAAGGAATGAGGGAAGTTGCAATTGTTGAATATTCATGTGTTTAGTTCCGCACAGCAGTTTTGACTGCTAACCCAAAGGCTGGCACTGCATGCCGCATTCTGACAGCTCTGCCTGCCGACGTGCCAGGTGCATTGGAGTTAGCTGTGTCGTTTGGTTATGATAATTAGCTGCTGGTAAATTGTAAGTAATAAAATAATAAAGTGTATTGTAACACATGAGCAGTGAACGTTTGCACTTCACAAATTCAGCATTCTTGGCCACAAGAGCCTTTACCTGGGCTAGTTATCTTATCACTGTTATCACCCATGCGCACCTGCATTCACTTCCATGCTATGCTGAAAAATGTGTTCTTCCTTTTTCAAAACTACGGGCACCTTTTTTGAACAAAACAGTTGCAATGTGCTATGGACAAATGAGTGATGTCATGTCCCATCTAGAAAGTTATTAGATAGGAGACAGTATTGAATTCCTTGTCATGTCATGTATTCTCCCTGCTGTGGCCCTTTATTGGTAGCAGTTGCCTAATGATGGGTGCTGCACTGATAAATGCTGTCAGGTGACTATTGCAATTGAGAACAGTTGCAGCACTTTGATAACACATGATGAGCCTAGTTATCCTTTGTTGTTTTTTTTTAATCTGGTTTGTGAAGGCAACATGTAGTGTAGCGTACTTTTGTGCAAAGCGCAGACAAAAGCCTATTGCCATCCGATCTTGTCGCAGCTTTTTATTGTAAAGTATAATTTCTGACCACTTGTGCTGCCTGGTTGTCTTGCAGCAACTATTAGCCATTTTCACTGCACTACAGTCTTTAAATTTCTGGAGCCCTCAACTAAGCCAACCCTTATAGTCGTATCATAGTTATCAGATGCGAAACCCCAACCATAATTATGTTTTCGTAGATTCACATCTCACTTCATTTTTCTAGGACTGCAAGCCTGAACTAGCAGCCCTTCTGCATTGTTTGTGCCTAATAATCGTTTAGCTGTGGTGTCTATATTCGTTGCAGTTTTGCAAGTGCATCGCTACCTTTTCGTACTCATTCTGAAAGCATTTAGAAGCTGATTATAGCCAAGGCAGCGGAAGTAACGTGCTACGACCGCAAATGGGACTCAACGCGCCTCGTGCCTCTTTTTTATCGCAGCTTGTTTGCTGCCTAAATCTCGTGCGCGCTTGTTATCAAGGCGGCGTTACGCCACTCTTTCAAGCCACGGTTTCACTTATTTGTTAGGCACTGCTTCCTGTTTACGCTGCTCCAAGTTGCTTAGTTGTGGCCATTGGCATCTTTTGTGCCCGGGACATGCTTATAACTTAAAAAGGCAGGCATTTGGGTAGCCTGTGTGTTGCACACATGGCAAAAATGAGGAAGTGTCCAGGCGATGTAACAGGAGCAGATACCAATATCTCGCGCAATCATTTGTAACTGTTGCTCACTTTCCAAACAAGACGCTCCAAGAAGATGGAGGCTTCAAGTGGTGAGCAGTGATTTAGTAGAGAACGTCCGTAGAGCCACTTTATAAGAGCATTTGTTGAAGAACTTAATGCCCTCCCGAAAAAGTGGGCTCCAGAAACATTCCTGTTTGACTGCAGGCTGTGAGTAATTGTAGACCTCGTGTGCTTAATGCCAGGCTCTGTGGGAACACGTGTGTCACTTAATGTTCATGGCCCCTATTTAAAGAAGCATCGCGCTTATCGTGCGCTCGGAGTTATAGTTTCTTTACGAGCTTTTGAACGAGTAAGTGTGCAGAACTCAATTTCCTAATTATTTCCGCTATTCCGCATTGTTTGTATATTCTCCTGGCTTACATACTGAACGCTGTTTTCGCATTTCAAGCATTGTACAGAATGCTCGAAAGTCTTGCAGGATTCTGGGGCACAGGAAATTTGGCACGGAAATTAAGTACCAAACGCAATTCTGCAATTCAAAAAGCGTTCCATAAACTGTGGCCATAATTTTCTTCTCTGACCTAATCTTTAGTATGCAAGGTCCGTCCAATTTGCTTGCATCACCTGAACCAGTTCATGAGGTGCTGCTTGCCATTCCTTTCAGTGAAGCGGCATTGGCGATTCTGAACCACTGCATTCGTTCCAAATAGTGCTGGTGAGGTGCAGCGCTAGTTCACGTTTTTTTCTGCACCCCCTATGCTGACAGTGCCAGTTTGGTGCAGCTGTGCGCATTAGCAGCTGAAGCAGACAACGCAGCATTCAGGTGTATGTGCCTATGTGTCGCACACACGTCTGCCAACATGCTGTGTTTCGCCAACATGCCTGCACCTCACAAACTGTCCACGTGTGCGGTTTGCCACCTGCCAAAATTAGCTGGACGGCTTAAATAAAGTGAACAACAATAAGGCCTGTGCTGCGAGGGCGGCTCATCATGGTGGTGCTCTTTGCCTGCACCATTGTTAACTGGTTCTGCTTAGTGTAGGTGAATCGAACGGACCTGCAATACATGCAAACGATGAAATTAATGTCGCGCTGTAGTAGCAACCTGTATTCCTAGTTTGAGGTCCAATGTAATGCTGGGTGACTCTTCTGTGAATTTCTGTATAATTATGAAGTAAGTGAAAATTACTGTATAATGTAAGTAAAAAATTACTGATAATACACTTTTTATATTAAAGTGCTGTATACTTTGCTTGGCCTCATAAAGAATTACAAATTGTGCACCATGTGTGTGACTGCATTAGGTGCACCAATGTTTGGTGAAAAGCGTAACAGTGGGTTTCATACAAATTCATAATGAGCCCATTCGTGTGTTGGGTTAGATGAAACTTTTTTCACGTTTGGTTTTTTTTCACCACACATTTCCAGCGGTCATATTTCCAAACTCTGCACTGGATGGTGAATTGAAAAAGTTTGAGGAAAACAGCTTGAAGATTTACTTTAATATGCACACTCTACACACTCAAACAACATGTTGTAGTGTGCTGGGTGCCAGGGCACCGTGAGATCAAAGGCAACGTGAGGGCGGACGAGCTTGCTGCATCCGTCCACAAAAGCACTGCCCCTACACCCATAATAATCCCGGCCCTTGATCTTAAGCCGTCTCTCAAACGAAACCTCAGGGACTACTGGCAGAGCAAGTGGGATACACACAAAACAAACTACACATTATTAAGCCACACCTTGGTCATTGGCTGCTAGTATCAAAATCGCGTCATACAGAGGTAATACTAACGAGACTCAGGATAGGACACACATACACGACACACACATATCTTTTGTCCGGTGGTGATCCACCATTGTGCGACAGATGTGGTGAAGCATTAACAGTTCACATTTTAATCCAGTGCCAACAGTTAGAAACTCTAAGAAAACAACACTTTCAATTACCCTACCGACAACATGTACCTTTACACCCTGCAATGTTCGTCGGTAGGGAACAGCTTTTTAGTCTTAAATCATTGTTAGCGTTTTTAAAAGAAATTCATAGTTTTCATATCATATACCCGGGCATTCCGTAGCACGACCTCTCCAGAGAGGTTTTCGCTGCGGTGGCTACACAACAAAGCACTTGCCTAACGGCCCTTGGACGCAAAGGTATGAACGAGTGAGGCACTTGTGCTAATGCCATACATGTCCACCATCGTTTTTATTATCACCAACTTTTGTCATCTATTCACACCACACACACCGTTCACAGCATGGTCATGATTTTATTGTATGTTTTTACCCGCCTTACCGCGAGGAATTTTATGGTCCTTATACAGCCGCTTATCACAATCATTGTCCATATTTTTAGTAAGATGAACTGGAGCTCTTTGGCCGTGAAATGGCCCTTGCACCACAAAACATCAAACATCATCATCAAGATTTACTTTAAAATGTCTGATGTTTCGAAGCCCGGCCAGCTTGTTCAGGTTTGAGAAAGCCCAAGATGTGCTTTGCTTATAAGTGCCTTCTTGCTGTGCGAACAAGGTTGCCAGGACGTGTCATAAGCCTTGGCAGTAGAGGGAGGGAAGTGTTCCCATGGTGCAGTTTGTTTCCCACTGTCTACTGTATGTGCCAGAATTTCACGAGGAGCTGCCGGCGAAGGTTGGTTTGCTTTTCTAAAATCGCCGCATCGTTCAGACGAATGCGGTGGTCAAACTGCTCGCAGTGCTCTGCCACTGCCCCCTGTTCACTGTTTAAATGATAAAGATTGTTCGTGCGCTGCATAATTCTCTCCTGAAAGTACCTAGTTTCTCCAATGTACGAGGCAAGTTTTCTCTTTTTCTCAGGTTTCTGTTTGCCCAACCAGGCAGATATCGGCTGAATCATTACCTTTGATTGAGAAAGTTACTTGCCGCAATTAGCAGTGTTATAAATAGTATTGTTGGCCGCAGAAGCTTGCGGGATCTGCAGCACGTGGCACGGCAGCGGAAAACTTGTCACCTACCGTGACGCGACTGGTGTTGAGAATATCAGCCACAGCCTTCGCGCTGAGATCTGGTAATGGTGCATCCTCTAAACTTGCTATCTCTAAACGTTGAGTCGAATAGCCTCAACACCCACCGTGTCACAGTAGGTGACGCAGCGATGCAGATCCCACAGACTTTTACGGTCAACAGTACCTGTTGTGGGAACATTTGTGCGTGTATGTTGTCTTTCGATGTCCTTTTATAGCAAAGCTCTATTGAAAGGGTGTGCAGTCTTCCGTTTAGTTCAGCCATTCTTATGTCACACAGCGTATTATGCTTTACAAACATGATGGCCACTGACTGTACTTGATACAACCTGAGAAAAACAGAACAATGGAGTGCCTGCTCTTCACCTGTGAAAAAGTCGTGCTAGCCGATTTCTGCTTGAACCGTTAGCATGTTTTCTCGGCTAATGCCAATACTACACATACTAAAAATTAAAGGTCTGTCATTACTATCTAAAATATTTTGTTTGACGAAGTAGCAATGCGAGAATCTCTAAGGAATTTATAAGACGTCCAAGTTCCCGATTTAAAAGCAGCGACACAAACGTGTCTGTATGGGAAAGCCAGCTGTCCAACAGATTAGATAACGGCCTATCATGAAAGTGACTAATTGCTACTTGAGGGAGTAGTTATGCAAATTATTTGTGGGAAGGACAGCGACGGTTTTTGGAGGAGCCGGCATTTTTTCTGATGTTATAATCAAGTTTAAGCATTTAACACACTGCACTTATCCCTTTGCAATTCGCAAACTAGTGAGAGACTATTTTATGCAAGCATTTGCGTTATCCTCTTTGACCTTGGCTGCTATGGCTCAGTTATACGTTTCCTTTTCTCTATCCTCCATCTTCTAATTGTTGTTTCAACCATGTTCTTGTTAATTAACTTCCCTGTGTTTTCCTTTTCTTACTTTTTTTCATGTCCCCTTTTCTGATAATGGTTGACAGCAGCAGCAGCAGCGTGGTCCCTGTGCAGGGAGGGCGTCCCCATGTACCAGTGCCTGAAATTTGTGGACAGATTTATCCGCAAGGACCACAAACCCGGACTGGGCTCAGCCGGCGGCTCGGGTGAGTGGCCCACCTTACCTTGCACAGCCAATGAAAGGCACATTTATCGCAACAGTGCCACTGACGTTTCTTCATTTATAGAATTGCCTTTTGTTAGTTATGGTTGCTGAAACTAATGCTCATGTGAAACATTGCTATGAATGCTCAGCTTTCACGGCAGGCCTGGTTTGACCAAAAGAAAATCGATGTTTAGCAGTTTGTAGTCTCTGTGCTTTATTGGACACTCAGTGCAGTACTTTGTACACCTGTTTCATGCATCAGGTGAACGCTGTGGGAGCTACTAAGAAAGTTTAGACGGCAAAATATTGTACTTCGTGCGCTTCGGGCTTGGATTTCATTGTGGGGACTCTGTCATCGGTTGCGGCTTCACCCTTTTTAGAACTGATCGCGTAGGCTGCGATAGAAAAACAAGGAGACTTCAGAACAGTTGATTTACAAGCATATTGTGAGCGCGATTTAGATATCATCATCACCTGTACATCTTCATCATCTGTAAATATCATCACCAGTGTGACTTAGCTCGAGCCTGGCTGAATAAACCGGTTCGCCACAAGTGGTGGAGGTGCCTCACGCACCTCTGCGCCAATCTCGATCAATCTGTTACTACTGCTGCTATAGAGGACATATCGCTCCGTTTTGTCGAAGGCGCCAACAAGATGAGCAACGCGGCTACGCTTCTGAAGAACATCGAAGCTTCCGTCCGACCATAAACTACCTACGACCACCCTCCCGATCGTCTATTATCGTTCACCGTCTCCTACCTACCATACTGACATGCCTGGGAATTCCACAGGTCGCATTCGCCAGGTTGCCGCTCAGTGTCGCCTCTGCGGCCCGCCTCCCATTCCACGAACGCCCACACAGAAAACTCCCCAATGCAGTTTTAGGAGCGGAAACTGCATCCACCGGACAGCTAACGATTCCTCCAGAGCAGCCATCGTATTTGATAGTAGTGTTTGTAGAAAATGTACGCATTGAGGCTCTTGTAGACACTGGCACTGCCGTTTCGATTATTCGTGCTTATTTTTGTTCCTGCCTTCGAGAAGTCACTACGCCTTATGGCGGCCCACCTCTCCGTGCGGCGACCAACGCTCTCATTCGTCCTCTTGCACTGTGTACCGTTCGTGTCTGCATCCAAGGCATTCGTCATCACATCGTTTTTGCGGTATTTCGTGAGTGCACCCACGCTCTCATTCTGTGGTGGGATTTCTTGTCTTCTGCGTCCGCTTTCATATCTTGTCATCAGCGCCTCCTGCATCTAAATGCCACTGACTTTTCTCCGCTTGGACACGATGGACACATCCGCCTTGTCACCACGTTAAATTATGTACTTCAGCCATACATCAAAAAAATTATAAGTGTTAATTACACTGACATTGTGGATGGTGACGTACTAATTATCCCTTACGGCCATACCCTACGTACGGGCATTGTGATCAGACCAGGGCTTATTCGCTTCTTCGATAGGTCTACCTACCTAGCCGCCATAAATCAAACACCCGAGTGTGTACTGCTCCCCTGTGGCTCAAAAGTATCTTGCGCGGTCGACAGTGAGCCTGTTACCATTGTTACTCTTCCGAACAACAACCTCAATGATGTCCCAAAGTCACAATCACTGCCATTCAATGCCTTTTCCACACCTGTGTCGGCAACCATAAGCACTGACTTAACACCTGATCAAACTGAAGATTTGCTCGCCCTGTTGAATAGACACCGTTCTCTATTTGATGTGAACTCGCCCGCCCTCAGCATGACTACCACCGCTACTCACAGCATCCAGACTGACGGCTCTCGTATTGTACATTGGCATCCATATCGCGTGTCTCAAGCAGAACGCAAGATCATCGAGGAAAACGTCTCAGGCATGCTGCGACGCAACATCATACGTCTTTCCTCGAGTCCCTGGTCATCCCCAGTTGTTCTCGTTCAAAAGAAAAATGGGACAGTGCGTTTCTGCGTCGATTACCATGCGCTAAACAAAATAACGCGCAAGGATGTTTATCCTCTCCCTCGGATCGACGATACAGTGGATTCATTACAGGGCGCAGAGTATTTTTCTGGCCCCGACCTTAGGTCAGGCTACTGGCAAATACCATTGTCGGAGTCTGATAAAGAGAAGACTGCCTTTTCAACGCCAGATGGGTTGTACGAGTTCAGTGTGATGCCTTTTAGACTCTGTAATGCGCCCGCCACCTTCGAACGCATGATAGATGGCATATTGCGTGGTTGGAAATGGAAAACGTATCTGTGCTATCTCTTTGACATAGTAGTGTTTTCATACACGTTCTCGCAGCCTGTACAACGTCTTGACGAAGTCCTCACATGCCTTGCAAAAGCCGGTCTACAGCTTAACACCAAGAAATGTACCTTTGCTAGCAAGACAATCAAGGTTCTCGGCCACGTCGTCAGCAAAAAAGGAATTCGGCCGGACCCCAAGAAGCTTGCCGCCATCCTCGATTTTCCTCGTCCACTACGTCAAAAGGACCTGCGCAGCTTTCTTGGGTTATCTTCTTAGTTCCGGTGCTTCATACGTGGCTTCCAGGACTTGCGTCTCCACTCCATCAGCTCCTCGCAAGGAACTTCCCCTTCATTTGGTTCGAAGACTGCAAAAGCGCTTTCAGGGCATTGAAGCAAGCTTTCACGTCGGATCCGGTACTGTGCCACTTCGATTCCACTGCACCCACCATCCTTCACACCGACACAAGTAGTCATGGTCTAGGTGTGGTACTCTTGCAGCGTGACAAAAACTCACGTGAACGCATCGTTGCTTATGCAAGTCGCGCTCTTACCACTCCAGAAAAGAACTATACTATCACCGAGCAGGAGGGCCTTGCTGTTGTTAGGGCAGTGCAAAGATCCGACCATATCTTCAGGGCCGTCATTTTACCGTTGTTACCGACCATTATGCCCTATGCTGGCTTTCATCGGTGAAAAACTTATTGGGTCGCCACAGTCGCCGGGCGCTTCGCTTGCAGGAGTATTATTTCGTTGTCGCCTACAGATCTGGGAAGAAGCATCAAGGTGCTGATGCTCTATCGCGCGATCCTTTGCCCAGCGGAAGCCACGCACCATCGATACTCCAAAACGACAGCACCTCTCCGATCGCAGCGCTAAGTTCATCACCTGCCACCCATTCATCCTTGTTTCACAACGTGTCGACCCATACTGCCGCACCATTGTTGACCGCTTGACCGGCTCTACTACTCCTTCAAACTCCAGACTCCGTCGACAACTTAAACAATTTAAGCTTGTCGGTGGCGCTTTATACCGCTACATTTACCACATCGATGGCAACAAGTGGGTACCCGTCATCCCACGTTCTCTGCAACGTGAAGTTGTGAAAGCCTTTTATGATGATCCAACCGCCGCTCATCTAGGCTATCACAAAGCTTGCGACAAAATACGAAGTCGGTGTTTTTGGCCTGGCGTCTCTTCAGCCGTCGCTAAGTACGTTGCCTCATGTGTCCATTGCCAACGGCGAAAACGACCGACAACTGCTCCGGCTGGCTTAATGCAACCTCTTCCTTGTCGCGCCTCGCCTTTTGAAGTCGTTGGAATCGACTTGTATGCCTCCCTTCCTATATCATCCAATGGGAATTGCTGGATTGTCACGGCCGTCGACCACCTTACCCGCTACGCAGAAAGAGCTTCTATACCATCTGGGACTGCCACTGAGGTCGCGGATTTCTTTCTTCGCCACATCTTTTTGCGTCATGGAGCTCCACGCATTCTCCTGAGTGATTGTGGCAAAGTCTTTCTCTATTCCATTGTCGAGCAAGTTTTGCGTGCCTCGAACACTGTTCACAAGACCACTTCTAGCTACCACCCACAGACCAACGGATTGACTGAACGGTTTCTTCGGACCCTATCGGACATGATCGCCACGTACATTCACCCCAATCACACGAACTGAGATGCAATTCTACCTTTCGTGACATTCGCCTATAATACGACTGCTCAACACACTACCATCTTTTCTTTATTTTTTCTCGTCCATGGTCGCTCGCTGAGTTTCCCTCTGGATGTCTTTTCTTTCGGCCCCTGCACCCTCGTTCGCTCCTTTCTCTGCAGAATTTTTTATCTCGTCTCGCACACTGCCGTCACCAGGCCTGTGTTAACGCCAGCCTCTCTCAAGACACTCGAAATCTCGCTACAACTCGTCTCGCCGTGTTGCCCCGCCGCGGTGGTCTAGTGGCTAAGGTACTCGGCTGCTGACCCGCAAGTCGCGGGTTCGATTCCCGGCTGCGGCGGCTGCATTTCCGATGGAGGCGGAAATGTTGTAGGCCCGTGTGCTCAGATTTGGGCGCACGTTAAAGAACCCCAGGTGGTCAAAATTTCCGGAGCCCTCCACTACGGCGTCTCTCATAATCATATATTGGTTTTGGGACGTTAAACCCCACAAATCAATCAATCGTCTCGCCGTGTTGTGAGTTTTTCCCCTGGTGATCAAGTTCTTTTATGGACTCCACTACGCGTCCCCGGCTTATGCGACAAATTCATTAGTCGCTTCATTGGGCCGTACACGGTGGTCAAACAGACATCTCCTGTCAATTACTGCGTTTCTCCTCTTAGCGCTAATCCTGGTCATCGTTGCCGAGGAACAGAGATAGTGCACGTATCTCGTTTAAAGTCATATGCGCGGCGCATTTCATAATACTGTCAAGCGACCAGGCAGCCGCTTTCATCCCACGGGGGAATCAGTGTGAGCGCGACAAGCGAATCACTCTTCATTCTCTTTAGATATCGTCACCTGTACATCTTCATCATCTGTAAATATCATCACCAGTGTGATTTAGCTCAAGCCTGGCTGAATAAACCGATTCCTCACAATATAATGTTTTGTTTCTTTCTAAAGCTCAAAGTGTCTTCATTTATTACTCCATCTCAAGCCTGGCTGAATAAACCGGTTCCTCACAATATAAACAATGTTTTGTTTCTTTCTAAGGCTCAAAGTGTCTTCATTTATTACTCCATCGAAAACCTAAAGAAAGAAACTCGCATTGTGGGTGGTAAAATTGTTGAACAATGTTACATCACCAGTGTGATTTAGCTCAAGCCTGGCTGAATAAACCGGTTCCTCACGATATAAATAATGTTTTGTTTTTTTCTAAGGCTCAAAGTGTCTTCATTTATTACTCCATCGAAAACCTAAAGAAAGAAACTCGCATTGTGGGTGGTAAAATTGTTGAACTATGTTACATCACCAGTGTGATTTAGCTCAAGCCTGGCTGAATAAACTGGTTCCTCACAATATAAATAATGTTTTGTTTCTTTCTAAGGCTCAAAGTGTCTTCATTTATTACTCCATCGAAAACCTAAGGAAACGCACATTGTGGGTGGTAAAATTGTTTATTTATATTTTGGTGTTAAGCGCATTTACTGCAAGAAGGTCTCACTAGCCTTTATAGTGTTCACACCTTATGTGTGAAGTGAAGCATAGTCTAAGGGGTTTTCGTTGCTAAGCTGGAGGAGGACAGGTTCATTTTACTGGCCACAGCAGTGGCATTTGGATGGAGGCAAACCCAGAAACACCCATTCACTAAACTTTTAAATGCTTTTTATGGAACCCCAAGTGGCAAAAGTTTTGCGAAATAAATTCGTTGTCTTCCTATAAGGCCAATGTCGTAACTGTGTTGTAGTTTTAGGATGTGAAGGCTTCAGAAATTTATTAAAATTATAAGTTCCCTTTATTGCCACAGCATGTCTTCTCACCACCATAAGTGGCAGGTGTCATTGGTTACGAGTGTATCGAGCACACACGCTGCATAACCTTGTGTACCATCAATCGATAGTTTTCCCTTCAAATGATGGCAGCCAAATCAGTTGCATCAGTGCTCTTAATGAGTTTGATTTAGGCTTTGCTGTCATTGGCTAGCTGAATGTAAAACATTGTTGGTCTCGTCATAATCATCATTCATGTCACTATTAACTCTTTCGTTACCATGCCTATTCAGATCGATCACCCGGGATCGACGCTTTTGGATCGTCGATTTTACCACATGATGACACACCCTTTATTACCACATAGTGGTAATAAAGGGTGCACCAAAAGTGCCAGCAACTACCCAAACACTGGGAAGAACTGCTCTTATCATGTTCATCCAATTAAGTTCCACTGCAGAATGAAGGCCTCTCTCAATGCTCTCCAGCCATCCCTGTTCTGGGCAAGCCGACTTTATCTTATGCCTGCAACCTAGCTCTCTGCTTTTCTCGACTACATTTCCCATTCCTCGATAACCGTTCTGTTGCTCGTGCTGTCCATTGCTGTCTCTCCTGCGCATTACGTGGCCAGCCCAGGTCTTTTTTTTTTTTCACTGCATGCTGACTAGGATGTCTTCCGATCCTGTCTTTTAATAACTACCTTGCTTTCGAACATGTGCTGCTAACACTTTTAAAATGTTTCTCCAGTTTTTTTTACGAAATTCCGTATGATTCCACAGCACTCTGGTGTGCATGTGATTACCAATAATAATTGATTTAAATACAAATTTTTATAAGTATTCATCTATTTATAAATGCAATAGAAGTGCTTCGTCATACTTATAAATGTGGCACAGAAAGATTGTGTTGCATATTATTGTTATTCAGATTCACTGCTGACCCCTTTAAAATAAAAAAAAAAGATTAGGATGCGGGTGCTCTTGTTACTTAACCATAAAGGACTGCTTGGCAGCAGTGTGGATTTCCCCTGAATTGGTGGTTTAGGAGAGTGGAAAGGAATTTGCTGCAGCACTGTTCGTGGTATTCAGTCGTGTACATTGCTTTACAGACCGACTCTCTCAATTTTCAGCCAGAAGACGTCCTTTGGTTAGATGAAGAACGAAAAAGTATGGGTGGTACGAGTAAGGATTTGGATGTAAAACATTCCGCGGCGCTTCTCTCTCGCGCTCGCTCGTAGCTCAACATCGTCCAGCGTGTGAAGCGTTGCATGTTCCCGCCGCAGGTGGAGCAGCAGGTGCGGGGCACGTGTACCACGAGCGGCAGGTGAAGGAGCTGTGTGCCCTGCATGCGCTCAACAACCTGTTCCAGGACGGCCAGGCCTTCACCAAGGGCTCGCTCGACGACATCTGCCACAGGTTGTGCGTGACGCCCGCCGCACTTCTAGTTCGAGAGACAAACCCTCCCGCACACGCCTCCTCTGTGTTACGTCCACTGCGTGCGCCTTGACCTTAAAGGGCCCCCCACTGTCTTGCATTAGAAACGAATAGGACCTGCATCGATTACTGTGTTGCATAGGATTTTCCTGCAACGTTTACTAGCTGGAACCCTGGTGCTGCAATCATTCTGCCAGCTTAGAAATGAAGGGCGGTACACTTGATTTGCCCATTATTAGTGCTTGCAGCTTGGAACACACTTAGTGGCTTTGTTTACTGTTGGGCTGCGGTGTTGTTTAATTCAGATAAAGGAATATATTATGAAATTTGTGAGCCAATTTCAATTGGAGAACCTAAAATGGTCAGAACTTTAAGTGGAACTGTGGAACGTTTGGCGAGTTTTGTCTTTCAACAAAGTGCATGCAAGCCGTATAATGTCAAATAGAGCGAAAAGCACAAAACTTTGGCTAATTCACATATTACTCATTATTCCCATGTTGTCTGAAATGTGATGAATTGCAGCTTCCATGGACAATAACGTGAGAGATCCCTCTGGTGCATTTGTAGGAAATTCTATGTTGTGTAGGGAGAAGGGTGGTGGACTGATCGGTGAAAAAAAGAAAGCTTTATTATGTGTACAAATGTAGTGGGCACAAGATTGTGGCTACATAGGCCTAATGCTTGCGTAGGAATCCTTTAGGAAGCGTACTGCCTTACAGCTGCTGTGAATTGTATTCTTCCAGAGAAAGGTTTTCTCGTAAGGCCTGTGAAAAAAATAAGCAGCCGTCGATGTCAGGCCTTAGCGATAATCGCATTAGACATGCAGAATTCGGTGAAGCATTAAGCCAATAAAGCAAGTGCTGTGCACTTGGTCAGGTTGGGCAGACCAACTTGACCAACCAACTTTAGGAGGGTAGCTCCTCCTAAGCTTAAATGCATTAAACTCTTTGACCTGTTACATGCCATTTCCTGTCGATAAATAGCAATCTGTGCAGAAATGTTTACAAGAAAAAAAAGAAAAGTCAGTTTTACTGAAGGCAAAAGCACTAAATACAATAGCATCGAATTGGAATGTTATACAAAGTGGGGCTAACCAGCTGACTCCATTGGTAGCCTATCTGCCATAACTATGTAAGGGAATGCAGCAACTCTATGGCACGAAGCAGCTGTAGCGCTGTTTTTTGCTTTAACACAAATGGTGAGGACACTGTACTCAAAAACGTATCAGCTTTCAAGAAAATGTTTTTGCCAGCTTGAAGTGTGGGGTCCCGAATCGGCGTGCAAGCGCCATGCCACGCTTTTGGTGTGAACGGACACAGTTGACACGGTCGGTACAAACCAAACAACATACATACATTTATTTAACTAATTTAGACGGCATCATCCGTCGAATCAATACATCAATTGTTATCAATACGCTAAGTCATCAATACACAAAATTACCATACACTCAAACAACATAACACAAGAGCACACAAAAGGTGGCATCGCCAACGCTTCACTCACCACGTGGGCCTACCGCAGGCGGCCCGCGGTGTCGTCCACGGCAGACCCACTGCGAGAGACAACCGTTCGCGGCAACCGCCATGCGTAGAAGAGACTCACTTAACTCTCGCCCGCCACCAAGGCTTGCTTTCGCCAGGGGTCACCGCCAGTGCTACCACATGATGATGATGACGATCGCTGGCACACACGCTTCCGTACCCTTTTAGCTAATGTTGTCAGTAACTGTCCGAGCAATACAGCCTTCTTTCTGGCAGCACCCCTTCGCGGTCCTTGTACTGACAGAGCCAGCCAGCGTGTTTCATTTCTGCTTGAGCGGCGCCTGTCAACGGCTTCGCAAGCTTTCACTGGCACATAAGAACGTCAACATGCAAGGCAATGTTGACGTTGGTGATGTGGACTTCATACGTGATATGAGACTTCAACAGTGCAGACAAACCTGCTCCTCTGGTGTCAATATAATTGGAAAGTAATTTGGTTGGGTTCAGCTTTACATAGCAAGAAAAAAAGAAGCAATTGACTAGAGTAAAATCTCAATGATAGGAATTCGAAAAAGCACGTAAAATATTCAATCCTCAATTTGTATGAACCAAAAACAAGTCAATGCTGATCATGAAGATGAACAAGAACTTTATTGAGGTCAACTACTACTCGCTGAAATGAGCAAATGATGTTTACAAGAACCAGTCGTTGGGAAAGTTGGTATTTCATTGTGGATGGCATTTTGCTAAAAAAAAAAACAGACAAGAAAGAAGAGAGCACAGACTGTGCGTGTCCGAGCTCTCTTCCTTCTTGTTCTTTTTTTTTTTTTTTTTGCGCAAAATGCCATACACAGTAGAATACCAATTCACCTAACGCTCAGTTCCTCTAAGGTATGTTACTAGGTTTTGGGGATCTTTTCAGTATTTAAGTTCTTCCACAGTTAACCCTGCCTTTTTGGTGGCCCTTTACGCTGTTTGCGTATGCCGTACTAGGAGCGTTTCTTGGCATGTGAAGGCTCGAACCTGCCCTGAAGATGTCCAGTCTTTGTGCGGTCGGATGGTACTGTCGTCTGTGCCTGTCTGTGCTCTCTTCCTTTTTTGTTTGTTTTCCTTTTTTTTGCACAAAACGCCATTCAGTATGTTCTTTTGAACTTTCATTCCTTCACCGTATCTCAATAAAGTGCCGCGGTTTCCTCACTGGTGCTGCTGGCGCTTAAAGGCATGTTCACACTTGACATCGAAGGGAGCTGCGCCGGTACTTCGCGATAGCGTCGACGTGATCCACCACCGACACTTTTGCCGCCATGTTGAATTTGTATCTCACTGATTATTTACATCACGTGGTTTGAGAGCTAGTGAAGCCGATGTAGCCAAAGCTGTGAAGCAAAAAGGCAATCTACTATTGCGTGGTGGGAAAATTGGGTCTCGGAGGTACTTGGTTTCATAGTCTCTTAAATTCTGGTGACTTTTGCCGTATTTGGGTCTTCCTCCCACAGACAAGCCGCATTGCGTCGCTCCGACTGTCAATCACTATGTTCGTATCATCCACGGTGGCTAAAAGGAAATCGTTCGTATAACACCGAATCACGGTGTATTTTGTATAATGTAGTTCATATGAAACAATATTAAAATTTGTACCGTCGTGAAATTCGCATCAACAGTAATCGTATCATCGAGATTCTACTGTAACTTGAAACATATTAGAAAACGTACTATAAGTTGCCCACCATTTTTGCTTATCAGGCAAGTTGTTGCACTGCCTGAGTTCGAAGGTGCAGGTCGATTCCTGGCCACAGTGGTTGCAGACGAAACGCAATGACAATCATATTCTTGGGTTGAGTTTCACGCGTACATTAAATAAGTCTAGGTGAGCTATTTTTGTATGTTTTCTATCACAAAATGGAACAAAATGCCTCGAGTGGACCACAGAGAGCAAACTGCCAATGGGAGAGCTTAGCGAATTCAGAAACATTTTCAATGCATTGAAGAGCGCAGTGTCTTTGACAATTTGTGTTAATGTCTTCAGTGAGAAATGGGGTGTGTTGCGACTTCACTGGTTGTTAGACCGTGGTGGGCTGCTTGAGATCTTCGCTAAAAATCGGCGAAAAATCAGCACCAAACAAAAATCAGGTTAGTTCAATTTTCCGGCCTTAGTGCTTACATTTATATCCAATCTATGTTATACGATCTGTACCCTTTCTGTCGGGCAGAACAGTGCCTGCATCTTATCTGTGTCCGGTCATTGCCAAAATGATTGACAGCACTTGCTATTTTCGTTTGCTAATTTGGCGTCGGGCCATCAGACGAGCCTCAACCAATCCTATGTGCTTCCCTCTTGTTCTTTCATGATGTTTCGTTTGTTTCTATCTCGGATTGCAAACAAAATAGCTCAAGGTGGCAAGTTGGGCTAGTTAGATTACATTCATATTTGAAAATTTTGTTGAAGCGCACTGGCCATCAGTGCGCTTCAACAAAATTTAATAGTCAAATTAACTAGATCCACCACTATGACGTACCTCATAATTATATTGTGGCTTTATGATATTCACAAGTCAAATTTGTTAATGCTCAGTGTGGGGCCCTTTAAAATATGCTGTGTGTCATTGCTTGTGAATGTGTGTGTACGTGTTTGTGCACATGCATGCCTGCATAATGCACATGATGGTGGGACTTGCACCACGCATGCGTGCATTTGAACGTATTGTTGTACAATGTGCAATAGCACTAACTTGAACCGATAGACGCATATTTAGGCTGATTTTGCGCAGTTAAAGGTGTTTGCAGGAGGGCAGAATAGAACAGGACATTATTTGCAATGTGCATTTTTCTCCTCAAGGACCTGTCACGTTTTATAGTTCAGGTGATCAGTTAGTTAGTCTGTCTTGTTGAATTCATGCATTAGTCCCATATGTGGACAGTATCAGCTATTCCGAAAAAGGAAGTAATGGTGGCCTTTTGTTGTGCATTTTTATTGGTGCTTAAGGCTCGGAAGTATGTTTCAAGATTCAACTTTATGGGTATTTTCTTGTAGCCTAGAATGGAGAGGATTTGAATCGGACAGGCTTTAAAAATGGGCTGTTTCTGAACTCCTATAGAACCAAACAGGTCTCAGGTAGCAGTTGTAGATGTGGCTTTCGTGAAAAGTTTTTCTGGTCAGGTAAGACATTGATGAGGGGGTGAGTAAATGGCTGAGTCGAAGTAGAAACAAGTTGATTTTTAGGGTCTTGTTTGAGTTGTGTGGTCACGTTTCAACTGACTGGAGTTTTTTTTTTTCTTTTTTTTTTTCACCTGATGTGTAGTGACACAGTGTTTCAGCTGCGAAGGTGACGCATTGAGGCGGTCCTTTGTGGCCTGCTTTTTCTTTTCCTTTTTTGTCCTGTCCCATCGCGCAGCCTGTCGCCCGACCACCTCGTGAACCCTCACAAGAGCATGCTAGGCCTGGGAAACTACGATGTCAACGTCATCATGTCTGCCCTACAGCTGCGCGGATACGAGGCCATCTGGTTCGACAAGCGAAAGTACGCACTATTTTTATATTATTGATGGCTTCTGCAGTTTCAGGAGCAGAGGGGCAGCTATCGTTATGGTGTGACGCTTAGCAATGGTCAATTGTCGCTTTGCAGCTGGGTAAGTGACCACTATTGTATGGCAGTGTACAGTTTGAATAATTACCCACGGTGCATTCACTTTTTCACTGTTTTGCATGCAAACCCATAAGCTCTTTGAGGCAAAGAGTTGTGTGGAGCTCAGTTGGACCATGCTAGTTCAATTTATTGAAAAGCTCAAGTCAGTGAGGCGTGAATCAACGAGATCGTGCCATATCTTTTCGTGATGTGTGTAGTCAAAAGAAAACCTGGCTTCTCTGGGTTGCCAGTTGTGACCTTTCGTGCAGAAAAAATGTCACGTGATGCTACACTCCCAGCTTACATTTAGCAAAGAGAAAGTTCATGTGCTGAAGTCTAACTCTGTAATATTGGCTTCAAAATTTGCGGTTGCAACTGTGCTAGTAGTTCGCGTCCTGGTTGTACGTTCCTGATGACAGTCTTTATGTCGGTTACCTGCAGGGATCCGTCGTGCATTGACCTGGCAAAAATAGTGGGCTTCATCCTGAATGTGCCGAGCGAGATGAAGTTTGGCTTTCTCCAGTTTCCCCTCAGCCGGAAGCACTGGATTGCCGTGTGCGAGGTCAACGGCACTTTCTACAACCTCGACTCAAAGCTCGAGGCACCAGCCGTCATTGGCAAGGCGAGTGACTCGGCCTCTGTTTCTCAACTAATCATGTTCTTTGGTCAGAGTGAATGTAGTTACATCAGTGAGGAGGTGTTTTGAAAGTCCAATTGGGTACTACATTTTTTTGATGCTTCGAAAAGTGTTAAGGAAAACTGTCTTTTGTGCTTCTCTTGGAGTACTACAGTAGACACTCAGTAAGGAGGATTAAGCAGAGTTGCTGTTTAAATGGGACAACTGTGTCTAATATATTGGATTCATAGTTGAATTCTGCACCCCTGTTCATTACTCAACAAGTAGAACACTTGTTAAGTGGGACACATATTCTTGGTGCTTTCAGTATATGGGAGCCAATGGCCACCATGTGGCAGTGACAGGATGTTGGAAAACTTCTTGCCGTGTTTTAAAGGGCCCCTATACCACCCAGCGGTCGAAATTTAGTTTAGGTGAGGAAGTTGTGCTCGAGTTTACAACGAACACGTAGCCGTGAGAATTTTTCGAAACGGTGCCGTAACAGGCGGAGTTGCACAGCGTTTGATGATCCAAACGCGATGATCGCTTCTTTCCCTCTTTCCTACGCTACCCTCTTCCGAAACCGCTTGGTACCCCTCCGCGCTGAGTCAGCTGAGTGTCCCTCCTCATCTCGCGTGGCATACGTCGCCACTGACCCGCTGTTCGAGACAGCGTTTACTTCCTGTTGCCGCGATCTGCTACCCCGTACCCAGCTCGCCGTCTACTGTGTTGTTGTGTCATCTGGGTGCACTGATCGTTGACTGACCGCTGTTGCTGTCATGCCCAACGTTTATAGATACTTTTTCAGTTTTCGAACTTGTCCTTTCGAGGCGGGCAAGATTTGCTTCAAGGGAGTGTGAGGGCGCTGCAGTCTAAATTTGCGCCAAGTGACTAGCTGCTTCCCACTGGCTTCACTGCCGCTAAGGTGGTTGGAATACTGCTGCTGCAGTTTCGTGCGTTCCGTACCGGTGTTAGGTCGCACTTGTTTTTTCTGTGTGTATGTCTCGTCGCATGGCGTGCTTCCATGGTCTTCTGAGGACAATTCGACTGCCTACAGCCACGAAGATACTCGGACATCCACGACGTAGGAAACTCTCCGATTGTAGACATCGCGGCACGATCTAAGCATTGACCATGTGTGGATGCATAGAGCACGTAAACGTACGTCTCTACTGTTGCTGCTATCCCGTGTGCCATAGCTCGGACTCTCCGGACATCATAACAATGTGTTTTGTGACCGGGCGCATCAGCGGGTAGAGGAAAAGCCTCTAAAAACGCCACTTCTCCCCGCCGTCCGACCGGCGTTGTTACTGCAGAAATGGGAAAGATCCATGGGAAATTCTGGGAAAGACGCTCAAGGTGGATGATGTTTATTTTCAAGAAAGCGACATCCTGAAGACATATAGGCATATCATAACTTGAGAAGTCTAAACCGACCAAGGTGCACGGGCATCGAGTAGTGGAGTTTTTTGATAATTTCCAAATTTCCCAGCGTAATTGTAATGAAGCCGCAAAATAAAGGGTACCTGTATAACAACCAACTGCTGCTGCCTTGTGATCTGCCAGAATAATGCCGACAAGATGCCCCCGCTCATTCGGAGGACTCCAATTTTTCTGAACGATTAAAAAAAATTGTGCTTCAACTTTCCCGCAACTAGAGTTTGGCGGTCCTTGAGGAGACGGAAAAGTCTCCGGTAATAACCTTCTATAACGTAGAATTCACAGAATATACATCTACTGGCACAGCGAAAGGACAAAGTGCGCCGCTAATAAATATTCATTACAAGGACAGCTGTGTGGGCATGACTGGTGCTAATAGACGTATGTGTGTCTTGTGTCATTTTAGCGGTTACAATGAAAAAAAAATACAGAATGACAAAAGGAACCAAGAGCAATGTGTAGATTGCAACCAGCGAATTGAGGAAACGCTTGATCTGTGCCACCATCGCTCGAGAATGGAGAAAACTTAAGATAAGCTGGCTGAGTAAAAAAAAAAAAAAAGACTGTATCCCCAGTGACTCTCACTGATCTAGTTGAAGATTTACCTGAAGTGCAGAAAGTGTCACTTTATGGTACATCCATCATGCAACAAGCAAAATGACCAAATCGATATAGGTACACAACAGATTGTCTCATGCTTTGTTTGCCTCTCACAAGCCCGAATATTTACAGGAATTCAGCTATGCGCTTGTTCGAAATTAGAATTCGAATGCTTGTGACTAGTGTGTGACAGTGACAATTGTTTTTGTGTCAATACACAGAAGTTTTCCTATTTTCACAAATTTGGCATTTTTTAAATGATCCTAAGTATTATGCACTCGGAAACCCATAAATCTGACTACTTCAAAATAAGAAAGTGCACTGGTTTATATACCAGCTGAACAGATAAATAGCGTCCTTTCAGTGGGATTTTAAATGTGACTGTTAATGTGCACAGCGTCAAAGATCCGTATGCTGAAATTCGCAAAAACAGCTTCTAAACAACTAAGCTCAAACTAGATGAGTCACGGCTTTTATCGCGGCTTCAGTGAGACGTTTCTTATACAACTGAGCTCTAAATTTTGTTTCTACCTCCTGGAAAAACAAGAAGTTACAGGGTTGCAAAACGGTGCTTTAATTGACAAATGCTCGTCTAGCACCACGCTATGTGCGCTATTATTTTCACCACGGACCTGGAAAGACGCCGCACACGCATCTAGGCTCTGTGTTATACTTCTCGTGCCTAAACCAAGTTGCGGTGTTGTGTAAACGCTGCTCACTGGCTGCACCGCGCCTAGCGGTAGCAGATGACCCTCGTTTGCTTGGCGCAAAGTTGGCCTGCGGCACCACGGTTGGGGGAACTGCAGCCGGCGCCCTGCTCCCTGAAGGCGAAGCAGAGAGTTCCGAAACTAAAAAGTATCTATAAATGCTGTCGTGCCGACCCGTGCCCCTATGCTAGCGACTTGGCAGTTGCGTTACGGGCCGCAGATATCGATTCGCAAGCGGCAACACAACCAAGAACAGCAAGGTGCCCACGAACAGCTGTTTGCTGAGTGACCGGAACTGGTCTGTTGTCGTTCTGCCAATCGCAAACATCGAAAGTAGTGATGTCATCGAGTTTCACTGGTGATGTCACAGATGTCAGTGGCGGGAGTGGCGGGGACCGGAAAGGAGAAGCTATTGCTTTTTCGAAATTGTGGTGCGCCCGCTACCTGTAGCGCTGCGGCGTGTAACATCGTTGATCGCGATGGCATTCTGCACGCGATGCGCTTGTTTACCTGAAATGTTTGGGAAAATATCTGAGGGGGTTGAAGGGCCCTTTAAACTGTACATTTACAAGTTCTAAAAGGACGTACTAACCAAAAACCAAACTAGTTCCTACTATACAAAATTGGTACCTCTATCACAGAATGCAAACTAAATAGCTCACAAATGTTCCAATTAATCTAGACTCCACCACTGTTGCATACCTCATCATTGGCTTGTGGCCTTTGCACGTGAGACTCCAAAATCAAGTTTGCTAATGTGCAGTGGGGCTCGTGGGTACCAACAGCTGTGAGGGCCTTGCAATCTAAAGTGCTGCCAGTGGGATAGTCTAGCACCTTTTCATTTAGTGTTACTCTAGTGAGCACTAAATCGCGGGTTTGATTTCCAGTCATAGGCATTGCATTTCGATGGGGGATAATTGTGTAAAAACTCCCGTGTATTCAGATTTAGATCAATGTTAAGGGATCATGACTAATCAAAATTAATGTGTAATCTGCCACAACAGTCTCTCATTCTTCTGTTGTGTTATTGGCAGTATATAACTCCATGACATTTAATATATGAAGCCTCCTCTCAAGCTCCTGCTTCACATTTTCTCCGTGCAGTCTCAAGAACTGCTTCAGTACCTGCGGGAGCAGATCAAGTGCAAGGACCGGGAGATCTTCATCGTGGTCACGCAGGACATTGGCAGGGTCAAGGGTTGCTACATCGAGACATCGAGGGAGACGCCTCCGAGGCAGCCGTCGCAGCAGAGTGTGGCGCCCACGCGCGAACACGTGTCGCGGACAAACTTGCGGTAGAAGTGACATCACCGCCGATCAAATGTGGCGCCAGCGGTGGGACCCATCTGTGCCCAGCAGCAGTCGTCTGGACCCTGCGAGACTGACTGAAAGTGAAAAGAATGAAGAGCTCGAGACGGCCGCTTTCTTTCGGCAGTATCCCCCCGATTCTGTGGGATGTGACTACAGCGTTTTGTCGTCTGCGAGGTCTGTCTGCTGCCAGCAGCGTCCAGTATCGTGTGGTAGCAGAAGGCATGCCACCGCATACGAGGTGTTGACCTGTCTAACTAGACAGTTAAACAGCTGAGACAATATAGTTGAGGGGCACTTCTTGGGATCCCCTTTTCCTCCAGCTTACCGGAGTGTGCATCGTCCGGTGTTCTCGTCTCCCTACCTCGTGCCCCAAGCAAGGCAACAACTTTTGTCTGCTTTTTACACACGCAACGGCGCGAAGTAGCTGTTTCACAAGTCCTACACTTGATGTGCCTGCCCAGTGATGCTGTCTGCTTTTTGCCGTGCTTTTGCTTTCCATACCGGTGGCACAGCAGCAACCGAGAACATTCCTTGTGGTTTAGAGGAGTCGCCTGCTGATGAATGACATTCGCAGTCAGTGCTTGATGGCGGGATTCCCACAGCGCCATGGCACACATCGGCGCCAATCGAGTGAACAAAAAGAACAGTAGCAGTGCGCCCCTGTGTGTATGCGCGACGAATCTCTTTGTCAGCTGCCCCTAGCACCTCTGGCGTGGCTTGGGTGATAGGCGTTGTCACAGCATGTTGTTCTTTTTTTATTGCCGGTGAGTAACTAGCGCACGCGAATGCTCGGAGCATAATGACCGTTAGCCGGGGCTTTTCGATTTGTCGCATGACCTCGGTTCGAACGGATGTTCTTGCGCAGACTTTACACATGCATCAGGGAACCTTTCAGCGCTTCATTGTGCCATCAACTGTGTCATTCACTCATTCTTACATTTATAACCAGCATCATTCATTCTAACATGAGAGAGATAGAATCAGTGTTTAAAAACTGCCATTTTTTTTGTCGATTTGATGTGTTCAGGAGGCTGGCCTTAACTGCAGTTACAAAGCCCAAGGGGGCTTTTTTCAGGAGCTGCCATGCTGTAAGGCAAGTCCACCGCACGAAGTGGTCCCATGTCTTATAACGTCCATGTTGCAGACAGCATTCACTCTGCGCTATTCAGTTATTTGCATAAGTCGGTGCAAAACCGAAGTCCAGGCGTGTCTGTCACCCGAACCGTTGTGGGTGTAGTCTGGAGGTTGCGATAAGAACAAAATATATGTAAATAATATAGCCGTCAAGAACGCTTAAACTTTTCGAAAATAAGCACCTGCTTTACTCTTGTACATGCACTTCCTAAAACCTTTATTAACAAAAAATCAAATTCTGCGTTAATCTTTCACCTTCTTGCATGTCTGCAAATCCGCTTTGTGCTGTGCAGGGTATGCGAACACTTTCATTATGTCAAGCATTATTACCGATAGTGCTGTTACAAAGGAGTTGTATTCTTCTCATATATTGCAGTGCATTCATTCATACTAACTGATGGCAAAGCAGGAAAAAATGTACACTACAGAGTTTGAGACATAGTTGTGTGGCTAGTTGAACTCGTGGGGCTGTCGTTGGATGCAGCTGTTGCTTTGGCGAGTCGCACGTGCATCCATTAGAGTGCTGAATCATGGCCTGCGTCTCTTCAAGCAGCCATGTGTGCCATAGTGGTAGAGAAGCGATGTGACAATTGCATAGGTGTCGGCAGTTATTGACAGGCGAAATATTCAGCGGGAATATTTTTTTAGGTTGTGAGACACTGCGCTCTTGGATTCCTCGAATACTCTTCAAACTAGCAAACTGTGACAACTGACCTATTTTACTTGCTTCTACTGGTAGCGCAGCCGAGCACAGGTTCGAGATTTTTTTTATATCTTTCTTGAATTCATTGCACAGAAGCCTGCAATGAATAATAATAATTGAAATAATTTTAACCATTTTTTATTTCTTTTTGTATTATTTCCATCAAAATATTTTTGTGTGTTTGTTCATTCTAGCACAATCGGTGCTGCCATCTGTGATGAACACTTGGAACTTATAGGGTGCACTACAAAAGTATCAGAGATAATTGTGCAATTTCAGCTGAGGAGCTGCATTAAATGAGAACAGTAGTATGCAAGAAAGCATTGGGGAAGCATTGGAATAAATGACATTTCCCATTTCAAGTTTTTTTATTTATTTAATTGTAGCCCTCGTTTTTCTCGACATCTGCTTTTGGCACTTTATCTTTCACTGCAGACATGCTGCATAATCATGGTGACCATTATTGTGCGATAACAAGCATATATCTTTTAAAACATGATTTGTCAGAAGGCTCCGAATGTAACTTGCACATAATCTCAGAATAAGTACTACATTGCTTAATTGCAATGGTATTTACTCAGACCACATTACAAGAGCTGCATCTTACATGAATATGTTTGTTATATCTGAAAATCGTTATGAATTTATATTAACACTGTCTGTTACAAAACTATTCTTCATTTGCTTTGTTATCAATATTTCGTTATATCCAGGTTTGTTATATTGAGGTGTGAGTACAGCCAGACCTAAGTTGTAACGAGCTGGAATGTGACAGTCAAATATGAGTTCCTTAAAAGCATCACCCACAACTTTTGTGCAGCAGCTGCTGTGAGAATGAAGCATCCCGCAATTGAGTGTAAAAGCCTCTTTATGTCTGTCTATGGGGGTGGTACGTTGGCTAAAGCACGCATTTCACAAAATTCACGCAGCTTGTGATTACCACTGCTTTGTCTTGGTTGTGTTCCGCTATTTGTCTATTTGTCTTCGTAGTGTTCTGCGGTTATTTATTTCTCCTGAAGTTATAAACAGGGTTGAGTGCTTCTAGTAATGTTCGATCTACCCTACTGAGATGATACAATGCATGGACGGGACCTTATCTCTGCATGTCTGATGTTTTCATAGGGCCTCTCCTAAATAGGATGCTTAAGCTAGTACTTTCGTGAATCGAACTGACTAAATCGAGGTGTCTAGTGTGCATAGTGTTTCACACGAGAACTGAGCTTTTGTAAGTGTTGAGACAATGTAGACGTCAAATTCAATCGGTTTTACCACTGTGGGGCATCCAGCTCCCATGGAATCGCTTCGAACGTCTATAATTTGCAGGCCATAGCCAATGAGTCTTTGATAAAACGCCGTTCTTATATTGACCTAGATTGATCTAAAATCATATCAGTTCAAAGTTTTGTTTAACATGCTTGTGCAAGCCACACACATAAGCTCACAGACTTGGAATCAGTGAAACGACACAGCACGAACTACTTTTATTACAGACCTTGGCAGATTCGGCCGCCGTGGAGTGGATTGATATGAACTACTACATTATAGTCCTGTACGGTCATTTTAAATCAATAATGCTCTTTATGATTTTGTTTAAATAGGTTGTATTAGGAGAAAACGGAGCTTTCCCTTGTATGCCCATCTTTGTGGTCGTTATGTGCCACCATTGATTTTTATGGGCTCTTGTTTTCATCTAGGATGTTTTGTCCCTTTTACCTGTACAGATATCTGCATTAATGGCAAAGTCATTTCGGAATATTCAAAATCAAACTTTTCAAATGGTAACTTTGGACACATACCTGTAATCATTGAACTGAAGTCCAAATCATTGCTGTGGCTTTAGCAGCTGTTGCAGCTGCTTCATGTTCGCAGCTTGATAGTCTCATACAGAGCAGCAATTTCACAAATGCAGCTGACTGTTGATGCACATCGCAAGTTGCATGGCAAACTGAGCGCCGTAGTGAAGGGCCCAGCACGGTGCTACAAAAAAGTGTATCATGAGGTTTCGTTTGTTCTTTGAAGGACAAGATGGCCATCAACACTTTATTTGTGCGTTTGGGTTTGTCTATGGGTGACTAAGGAGTTGACACCAGTACTTCAAAACTGTACATACATTCACGCTAGCTTGGAGCTTAATGCTTGAATCACTGCTGCGAAGAGCGTGGTGGGATGTTCTCGACTTGTTTTCGCGTGGCTCCTTTTTTTTTTTCTGATGTGTACATAATCTAGCCAAGATAAGTGTACAGAAAATATATATATATATCTGACAAGATGTTGGAGAGAGTATTTTGCCCGATTGTGGCCCTTCTGTCAGTCTTGTCTGCCTGCCATGTTGCTTTCGCTGTGAGCGGCTTACAGTGCTTTGTTTACTGTTGGTGCATAGAATGTGTCGCTTTGATGATGCGGTGATTTGGGGTTTGCAATAGATTTGTGGGTGCACTTCGAAGAGTAGCGAGAAATCTAAGCGTTTGTTGCGTGCGTTTCAAGTGGCCGCACAAGTGGCGGAGTTATTTTAGTGACAGCACTTGTTTTTCGTGTCACGTATGTAGGACGAACGCAATTTTGTTTTATTCTTTGACTTGCTGCCTCCGTGAAGTGGTGGCTATTGATAACGTTCATAGGGGCTGAGAGAAATGTCAATGCTACAAGGGTTCTTTGTGTCTGCCACTCTGTACAACAAAAATGATTTCGGTGATTTTCTAGGCCTTCCGGTGCACGGTGCAACTTATTCTTGAAAGAGGCTCTGAGCAGATAATGATGTATGATATTGTGTTCCACTGCTATGACCACAGCAGCTTGCATCTGTGTGCAGATAAAAATCTTTAATACTATACTGGCTATTATTCTTCTAGAAGGTAAAAAAATATGATACATCTGCGTGTCGATAATGATAACTCTCAATGTGTGACAGCTGGTAGCACTTGTTAAAGGTAAGTGTTCTCACGTTATTGACCTATTACAGCATGCATAGGCATGTCGCAGAATATTGCCTCAGTGACTACAAAACGTAGTTCGGGAGGTCAGCGCATGCTTTAGGTGTCTTGCATCCTGTTCTGCCCCACGCATCCTAAATTGACTTGTGAAGCCAGATTGTCAATTCCTCAACTGTAAATTTTCAAATTTTTGAAATCCCACATAGTAAATAAACTATGAATAAAAGCATGCACTGGAACTCCTCGGATGCAGGTTTTAAAAGGCTGATGTTTAAACATTTGTTGCCCATCAGTTAAATTTTCAATTGGTAGGGCACATACCTGCATAGCGTGGCATGCGTGCCACATAATGAAACCCTTTTCCCACACTCGCTTGTGGAACAGAACCGCATAACATGGGCTGTGGCTTGCGGGTACGTAGTACAAAGCTGGTACTAATGTAGGAACAGAAAAAATGACATTAAAATCTTAATAAGGCAATTTACAAGGGTTATATAAAAAACAGACCCTTTCTTATAGTTGGCAATGTTATGCTAGCAGACAAATGCTGCTAAATGAGATACAACTCTTATCCACCAACCAGGTACTACATTTCATGACCAGATGTTACGTAGATGGTTGTGTAAAATCAGTTCAGTTGGTTGCGCTTTTGTAAAGTCATTCATAGTTGCAGTACTGGCAGTCTGCTTCGAAATCATGTATTAAGCACATGTACCCTTACGACTTGGCAAGCTGGTCTAGCATCGCTCGTGTCCACAGTAATATGCCAGCATAGTCAATGTGCATGGGGAAATTCTCGGCACAACGGATCTTGTCTTGATATGGACACAATTGCTAAGGTGCATTAACACGTCAATGCACTTTGTAAAGCATGGCTCAAAGCAACTGTTGCATGCACTGTTGCATGAAATTGCGACAGTGCATGGGATCTGCCACAAGTTTATGAACTTGAGCTTGATCCGGGCGAGTGGAACGAAAACTATCATTTTTAGTGCTGTTTCTCACAAACTTTGCAAAAAGTTGGAAAAAAAACTTTGTAGGTGCAAGCTTTCTTTGTACTCTTCGTATTTTGTATAGAAAAGGAAGAAAAGGAGACCCAAGATTAAAAAATATAATAAAAAGAAGCAAGGCAAACCATTTGTGCTGCTCCTCTAGGCACCACTACTGCGAAGTTAGCTGTTTCTATGTAAATATTGCGCCAGATAAATTAACGTGGCGACAAGCATGCAGAATCGCGTTCGTCGGAAACGAGTAATCTGGAAGTTTGTTAGACAAGCGTTCGAAAGAACGCAAAACAAAACAAAAACTGTTCTGTACAAACTGGTTGTTTCATTCCAACTTATTTGTGCTAGCATACTGTACTCCACGGTGGTGTGTCAATGAACTTGGCTTGCATAAAAATTGCCAGTTCTTGACCGAATTTCCATTGACACATTAGCAGTTCATATAGCCGCCCACAAAAATTGCGCAGTCAAATTTTTAGTACCCAGCATTGCCATTCTTATAATTAATAAGCATGATGCTCGCATTCTAGTGCCACACTTGGGACTGCACTTTTTATTAGAATTGTACCATGAGCCCTCTATGAATACCCAAATGTCAAACTAAAGTTTTTGGTATTCACGAAAATATGCCTTCAGTGGATCTTAGTCTGAATCTTGTCGCTATTGGGACATTCTCAAGTGACATCACCTATCAAAGTTATTGTATGATGTGTTACATTTGCGTGTGTTTTTTCTTTATTAACCTCATTTGCTTCAATTGTCATCGAGAAGCCACTAAACACCTCCACCGCAGCCTTTGTCATTCCAGACACGGATATCGCTCGACAATTCAAAGTGAACCAGGAAACCACATCAACTGCCGCAGAGCTTGTCGCAATCCGGTAGGCAATAGGATTTATTTCCAGAGAGCAACCTCGAGCCTGCACAATTTTTTGTGATGCCAAACCCGCTTTGCAAACCATTATTTGCATCATGAGACAAGGTCCGTATTACATATTGGCAATAGAAATCGCAGAACGTTTTCAGGTTGCTTCAACAAATGGCCATCTTATCACTTTCCAGTGGATTACCGCGCATTGCGACGTGATGGGAAACGAAGAGGCAGACGCTGAAGCTAAAAATGCTTTAAGCAGTGCCCCAGAAGTACGCATTGCGTTTTCACGAGCGGACACGAACGCCCCGCTTCACTGCACACTTCGATTGATATGTGGGGTTTAACGTCCCAAAACCACCATATGATTATGAGAGACGCCGTAGTGGAGGGCTCCGGAAATTTCGACCACCTGGGTGTCTTTAACGTGCACCCAAATCTGAGCACACGGGCCTACAACATTTCCGCCTCCATCGGAAATACAGCCGCCGCAGCCGGGATTTGAACCCGCGACCTGCAGGTCAGCAGCCGAGTACCTTAGCCACTAGACCACCGCGGTGGGGCGAATTCACTGCACACTTCTGCACTAGACCAAACCGAAACGGCGACACCGGCGACTTCACAAATGGGACCCAGAAATGGGTTTCCGCATACCCCCTAAATTGAAAACGCCAACTCGCAAGTACGATCCACCGCATTCGTCTTGGTGTGACGTACACCAGACGTTACGCACGTATCATCGGTTGCAGAGACACCGGTCCTAATTGTGAACACTGTGATGTGCCAGCAACACTTGAGAACACATTTTGTGACTGCCCAGCATACACACGTGAATGACAAACACTGATTTCTTCTACTGAAAGACATCGCAGTAGGTCATTACCTGATAAGACCGTTCTGGGCCCTTGGCCAGACACCAACAGTGCAACTGTGGTCAAAAGAGCAGTTATAACCTTTTCGGAAGCAACTGGACTATATGCGCGGCTAAAATATTTTTCTCAGCTAGAAATAATTCTATATACTCACCCATCTATCTCACCATCGTCATCCATTAGTCTTTTTTTCTCCCCTTACCCTCCTTCAGCGTAGAGTAGCAGGCTAGAGCAAGCTATCGCTCAGGCCGACCTCTTTGCCTTTCTGTAAATAAACTTGTCTCACTCTCAGAAGACGCGTTTAACCATGAATAGTATGATGATGCTGCATGTCATATACTAAATTTTGCATATCTTTCTTAATAAACTATAGTTGGCATGTCAGCAGTTCTATATTTAGACTGAGAAGCAGGTTATTATCGTAATTGCTTTGACCTAGTTATAGCTGCAGGGCCAGTTCATGTCAGAAATAAAAAAAAGCCACTGCTTGCAAGCCTGTAGCCCACTTCTAGTTGTACCGTGCCTGGAAGTCATGGGAATTTGTGAGGTAGTATTCCTCACCTTGTGTTTAGATGGTTTGATTGTTCACATTAGTGGGATCTAAAAACTCCATTCAGTGGAGACCATGGTTATATTCTGGTGCTGAAAAGAAGCTGTGCTGACAGAGAAGAAAACATTTTGCCTCCCTTAATTTTGATAACTGTCCAGCTTGGACACAGGCTAGATCAGGGGGAAATCCAGCCACTCATTCTAGGGGGGGTGGTTGCCTGAATTAAGACAGGAGAGGGGGGCGTCGTCATGACTTTTTTTTTTTTTGAGCGGAAATATGCTTTCAACCATGGATACTGTTAATCTGTGCTCACAGTGTTTCGCTCATTAATGCTAATTGGTGATTGGAGGTGGACGACAAGCAGGGTGGTGGGTGCTGACAGACATTTTGGGAAAGGCGATTGCCCCCACCACCCCCTCCTCTGGATCCCCCATTGGACTAGATGTACATAAACTAACCAAGGTTCTTATTGTAGCAGCATTCTTAGTTACAACAAGAGCTGTACAGTCAGATGTCTTTATATTGATATGCTCGTGTCTCAGTTTACTATCTGGCAACTTAGTCTTAAAGGTTGCATGCCATAACACTAGTAATAAAAGCAGAATTTGTGGTATCCTTCCATAGGTCATTGGGTCATAAAATCTTTTATAGTGTTTTTTTTTTTTCTGTACTTTCAAGAAAGGTTGCAGTTGTGGAAGAACCTTCTCACTGTCACTGCCTGAAAGCAGTCTACGAGGTTGAATGCCCCAGAGCACTCGAGCTATGAGAGATGCTCTAGTAGAGGATTCTGGATAATTCCAACTAGCCGGAGTTCTTTAACATTCGATCGCAGCGTGTCAAGAGACCTGTAGCACTCTGCTTCCATCAAAATCACACTGCCATAACTGTGATCGAGCCTGCGTCTTTCACCTCGGCAGTCAGGCACCATAACCGCAGTGCCACTGGCTAAAAGAGTTTGCAGCAAGTTAATGTGTGTGTACTTTGTCGTGCTTGGGTGATTATCTTACAATAAGGCACGCAGTGAAGAAAGCCATTATGTCAAAGTGCAAGCAAAGTACACATTATTTTGATCCTCTGATATTGTTTGGTGCCTCATCATTTATGCGTGAAACTCCTTGTAACGAGGCTTGAAAACTGACAAGACCAGCAAGCCAATCTTCAAAACAGATCTCGCTGTACAAAGAAAACACCTTAGTGCCACGCTTAGCCGGGAAGAGGATGGCTTTTGCCATGAGTCGTCTTAGGCAAATACTTTAGAAAGTAGTAGTAGTAGTAGTAGTGTTTTTATTTACAGTAAGCCGGATACAGAGCTCACTGCAGGGGCAAAGGGCTAAAGGCGAACAGCCTGACAAAGGCCCTTGTCCCTCCGCAGTCCGTGACAGTGCAAAGCTTAGACATCAGCACTGACAAACAATATATATATTCAATACATTGGTTTCAAGCAACCTGAAATTGTAAACACAAAATTCAAACATAAATAGCATAAGAAGTTTACATAACACATTTGAAGAATTAGAGGTCACACTCGTTAAAATTCACAACTAAGCAATATCAATGAAACAACTCAAAAACATACACAAAATGCATGCGGATACAATGAA